ATCTTATCTGTGCTGCACTCAACGAGCCCATTTTGAGAAACTCACGCCTCTCCCATCGTTCCAATCCCAGCGGGCAGCCTTGTGGGGGTTTGAACAGCCGGTTCCGCTTTCTTAATTCTTCGATAAGTCAGGGCCAAGCCAGCTCCGATCAGCCAGAACCCTGTTATCATGGTTCCGAATAGGTAGATATCTTCAGCACTAAGGCTCACCCGAGCTCAGACTTCTCGTTGAGAAAGGGGTGTCAATTGCATTTAGGGACCAGTTGATCCAATCCATAATTCCTCATTTAGGTTTAAGAGAACAGATTGTGAGAGAGTGTTCCAGGGAAAATACAAAAAAAACACGAGACTAGACAAGGACATAAACAGGGAAGGTAACGGGAGAGGAGAAAAAGTGCGTCCGCCTCCTCCGAGAGCCAAAGAAGTTATGTATTTATGTCAAAAAATTTTGATGGCAACAACATATCACAAAAACTTGGGGCAGCCAACATGGCTAGAAGGCTAGAGGAACATTTTGCAACTAACTAGGTTAACTGGCAACGAGAGGATAACATGATCAGATATAAGAAAAAGCATCTTAGAGAACCAGATCGTGGGGCAACCGTGGCTCAAGAGTTGGCAGTTCGTCTTCTAATCGGAACGTTGCTGGTTCGAGCCCCGGCTCGGACAGTCTCGGTCGTTGTGTCCTTGGGCAATCCATTATTATTATTATTATTATTATTAGAATGTCTCCAAAGCAAAGACAGGCAGAGGGTCACTAATCTGCAAAGATACTGGTGCATCCAGTGGTAACCCTCAGCCTCCTAGCAGACATACCTATGGTATCAATTTCAAAATCCTAGATAACACCCTAAGTTATTGCATTCACAAGATTTTCAGGAAACATGACCTTTGACCTTGACATCAATGAGATTCAATTGCGTGCTAGATTTTTAGTAGATACACCTATGATATCAACATAAAATTCTTACCTGATATTATGATATCAGTGTTGCCTGATGTACTATTACCTCAGCATCCACAATATATAATATCATCAAAAGAATTGATCAATCTAGCAAAATCATGGTGTAAGGGACAAGGGTGATTTGAAAAATTGTTTTGAATTCATTCTGGAAAACATGGATGTTCCAGGCTTAAAAGGAGGGCGAGCACCGATCTTGTTATTAGTGGTTGCTTTCAGTTCAGCTAGAACTCTGATGGTATGGGGGTGCATAAGTGCCTAATGTCTAACAAAGGCGTAAAAAGTACAACTGTTTTTGTATTAGTTAAGTGGTGTATGTTTATCTTGGTAACTTCGGGGGATACACAAACTTTTTTACAACTGTTTGCGTATGCCAATATACATAATATCTTAGCAGACATTATCAATTTCTCCCAAACGCAAACTTATCGATGAAGTCCAAGTGTTTAATCTTTAAATCCTTTGTGACTGAACAATGTAACCACAACACACTGGGCCCTACTTTTTAAAATGGCAAAAGATCAGCAGATGAAACGTTTATTAACCTCTGATGTTCAACAAACCTACATGAGTGCAGAAAAAAAATCATATTCTTTTCTCTAATTGTAAGATGCTTTCATTAAAAAAAAAGCTAACTTTTTACAGTATGTCAGTTTATCTTAAAAACTATTTTTGACTTTATTGGACAGTGTTTGGACAGGCTAGCTTACTTATAGTCATGAATTTCTAACCTCTGAAGTTTAGATATTTCGTTAATTTAAGAAAGTCTACAAAGCGTAACTTTTACTGTACTGGTAGACAATGATGTAATTTTGCACATCCTTGTATCTAATGTTTATTTCATGCTCTTACTTTCCAAGTGAACTGCTTTTCTTTTGTTGTTGGGTTTCTATGGTTAAAACTGGGTCTTTGCACTTACCTCCATGCGTCCCTCCTGCTCCAGTGGTTTGATCCCTGCAAAGATGTCTGGCTCCTCCTCCTGATGGTTGTCAGCTAGCTGTCTGTCTACACCCTCTTCTGAAGCAGCACTCAGATAGTATGCCTGGTAGTCATCTTCACCCACAGCTTCTCCTTCAGCAGCTGCACGTACAGCTTCAGCTCCTTCACGAGCTGCTCCACCTACCACTACTGCTCCACTTCCTGCTACTGCTGCAGCAGACACCAACTCTTTGCAGCCTAGCACTGGCTTAGCAGATGTTTGAGGGGTGCCTGATCTCACTGTAACTGCTGAAACTAAAGGCTGGTTACTACCAGCTGAATCTACATCTTCATCTATGTTAAGTGCTGGCTCCACCTCGGCTTCCTTTTCTGCTGTGCTGGGCATGCCCACAACTATCACTCCATTCTCTTTCAAAGGGAAACAAGGTGGAGCAGGCTCTGCAGCAGCAATTGCTGCAGAGTCACGGCTGCTATGCTTTGTTTCAAAAATCTTGCTCCCTCCACTGTTGCACTTCCGTGAATCTCGGAGCAGTGGACTTGGAGAGGGCAACATCTCTGGTGGTGGTGGGAGAAACTCGAAAGTGTTACTAGCCTCAGCCCCCAAAGCCAGATTGCAGCCGTCATCCAGACTGAGCTCAGCCAAGTCTGGCTCCAAGGAGCTATCTTCACTACTAGTTCTGCGTTTGGCACTTGTATGCTTACTACTTCCTAATCCTCCACCACCGCCAGGTCCTCCTCCTGTTGCCCCCTTCCCACCTCCCTGAGTCAGTTTCAACTTTCCTCCAGAGGAGGAACCCGGGCCTTTGTACATGCACTTTCCTCCTCCATCTTCCAGGGATAGTGAGACACTCCCTCCCAGTCGAACAAGCATCCCTCCACCTCCACTCACTGACAGTCCCTTCCTCTTGGTCAGAATGGTCTCCTTAGGTCGCACTGCTACCTCCTGTTGTGTGGAGTTACTACTTGCCCTGCCTTTATACTCTCCTGCCGGTCCGCCTTCAGCTCTGGCCCCTGATTCAGAAGAGTCAACACCACCTCCTGCAGGCGACTTGATTCCTCTCTGGTGCAGCATTGCCCTGGACCAGCAGAACGTGGCACTCTTCTTATCTGCACTGCAGTAGGTAATGCCATCCAATGGGTAGGCCACCTCCCAGTTGAAATAGCAGGACTCCACAGCAGGTTTAAAGCCTTGAAACAGTTTATCCAGGGACTTGCGATGCTGTCCCCGCTTCACTATCTCTATAACTTTCAGGTGCCACTGCCTCAGCTGACCGGCCAGTTCCAAACGCCTAGAAGAGAATGTCCATAGTCTTTATATTTAACATGAATCGCTACTTCATATTCACTGGCACCCTAAATATGTAGTTACACACAATTAGTGATAAATGTGCTAGCAGAGGCTATTTTTTAATAATAGAATTTATACTTCATGACTTAAATTCTGTGACAGGTGAACCAATCCATGACCAGTATGTAGCACGGTGTCTGTGGTCTGACCTGCAGGGGCTCATAGTGGGGTCGAGCACTGCCAGCCTCCAAAGAACCACCATCTCATCACACATGCTTGCACAGGCATGAGCGGCTACTTCTGACTGTCCGTTGCTCCGGCCAGTATGACCACTAGCACTGCTGTGTGACGCTGATGTGCGAACGCTATACCACCAGCTAATGATCTGAATAGACACAGACAAGTGTGTGTGTGAGAATCAGTGTAATATGTACATAATGATTTCATACCAAATGTATGAAATATACATCCCTGTTTCCAAAGAATGTTGGGTGCTGTGAAAATTTATATCCTGTCCTTTATGCATAGGATATATGCAGCGTATCAGATTATGAACTCAGGAACAGCACCTTTTTTTGTTAAAGTGCCAATTATGAATTTAAGTCATATGCATTGTAGATAAACCAGGATACAGGCTACCCATGCTGCATCAGCTCCTCCTTTAACAACCCGTGTACGCATTTAGGCACAGAGGAGATCAGCTGCTATGGTTTTGATTGATTTTTTCCATCATTGCCAAATACAGATTTTAGAGGCATTGGGCCTCTTTTGTGTTATTTTTTTGTTTCATAATGTGCCAAATGTTTGGCTGGACACAGGACAGCCTAGTGCTCCAACTCTTACTACAGAGTCATACTTGAAGAGAATGTGGTTTTTCCTCATTTCTAAAGCAAGGAAAGGCATCTTTGAACTGCCTTCTCTGGAGCAGTATGTTGCCATCAAGCTATAACCTAATGAAAACATGATATTTACAATTCAGTTGGGTTTTTTGTAGTCTTGTCCTACTTTGAGGGCTTTTTTTTTTAAAATAGGAAAATTGCAAAGGCTTCACAGACATTTCTTTCCCCTTTAACAGTACATTAAAAGTAAGGGTCCCATGTCTAAATCTTTTCTTCTTTGTACTGGGTTACTCTCATCTTTTGGAAGTCATCCCAGAGTAATGGCCAACATACCTGTTCGTAGGTGAGGCACTGTTCAGTGAGAATCTCCAGCAGCGGGGCAGCATTGCTGTCTCGCCTCTTAAACATCTCCCTGACAATGGACAGAAGGTTCCAGATGCCTTCTGGCTCTCTACCCCTCAGAGGTCGCAACAGACATGCCCATTCAGCAGCTGCTGGTGGCTCGGTGGATGACAGGTACATGGAGTTCACATCACTGAGGATAACACAAATAGTACTGGTTTAGGCAAAGTAACGCTGAGGTACATTTACTAAAAAACAAACTATATCCAGTGAAAGATTTACTGTAGCACTTTCTCGTCAACACTACGTCATATGCATAAGATGAAGGGTAATCATGTGTGACAAATCATGCCTACCTGAAAACAACAGGTGAAGGCCCACAGAACTTGTGTAGAGTCTTTTTGATGTTGTCACTGAGGGTTGACTCATCCAAATACCAGGTGCTCTGGTCCGATGCTGAAGGGCCTGCTGTTGGATCTACAAAAATAAATTGTGCAGAAATAATTGAATCTTAAGAAAAAACATCTACTCTACACAATAAACTACAGAAGGCTTTGCTTTTCCATTAACAATTAAAAGGCATCAGAGTCCCCCATGAAAAGAAAATGTGGAACAGTAGTGATTTTATAGAAATGCTTTCATTTCTCCAAGAATAGTCTAAGGAGCTTGGAAAGAAAAGCGTCTGGACTTCTTTAAGTTTCTTGAAAATGTTTCACCTCTCATCTGAGAAGCTTTTTTCACTTCTAAGACCAATTGGTGGAGAGTCACAGATTTTTAAACCGTATTGGGAGTGTCCCTAAGAATGTTGTGGACCCCCTATTTTTCCTCTGCCTAATCACATGAGCCAAGGTATGAAAAACAGGTGTGGTTCACAATCAGCCAAGGTTTTGGGTGTGAGACCTTGTCCTACCCTATCCTGTGACTTACTGAGACCAAATGACCCGAGATGTGATGGCTACTCTTTCAAACCATCTGTCTTCTCTGTCCAAAAAGTGGACATTAGCATCCTCTAAAGAGCGATGTCCTTTAGATGCAGATGGACAGCCGAGTCTTGTCCTGTCAAGGTGGCTCCTGTGTGGCTGGGTCTGAAGTATTTTGAATGTTGTGTTGAATTCTATTCTATTCTATTCTATTCTATTTTGAGATGTCGTGTTTGGAAAAGTCTTTTCTGAGTTTCTCTGATAAACCTGCTCCATAATGGATGACAATGTTGTTCCGTTTGTCCTTCTGATCCTCCCTAGTTGGTGTCTGATCTTCTTTTCTGTGCATCTTTACTGATTTGATGAAAGCTCAATTAGGATAACCCCAGAGCTTTCTAAGACAGCTTTTTAAGAGCTTTCTTTACATGTGTATGTTCCTTCTTTTTTCCCTTCTGGCTTCTCCCAACCAATTGCTCTTAGAACTGAAGAAGCTTCTCGGATGAGAGGCGAAATGTCTTCAAGAAACTTAAAGACATCACAAAGTTTATGTGATGCAGCCTCAGATTTTTCAAATGCTGTTTGTTTAGCAATCTGATACTGAACCTGGAGCTCCACACACAGTGTTGATGGCAGTGGACTGTGAGGACAGCAACTCATCCAGGAGTCGCTGGGCTGTAGGCAGGATCTGGAGAGAGATAACTGAATGAATGCATTTTCTTTAATCATTTGGTTTACAGAGATCATAAATAGCTTAAGATACCTGCTGAGGCAGCTCACTGATGAGGTACTGGGCAAACTTTTGAAGCTGGTCTCTCTGCAGTCTGGACAAAGACTCAGAAACTGGAGCCCTAAGACACACTGCTGATGCCTACGCACACACAGACACACACACACCATATTTGTTTAGGTATTTTTAAGGGGATTGTAAACAGAAAGAAGTAAACAGATCAAATGTAGGAAAATACAGAGGAATGGCATTGCATTAATAGGTCCTTTAGTCAGTAGCCGTCCCAAGAAGCTAAATGGTGGTGTATTTGCATCCTTCCTGAAGGAGAATATTCAGCCATCAGGTCACGCCCTGAAATTCAAACTCATTTGGTTTACACAGTAAGATGAAAATCTTCCTTTGCGGCTGAATTAAAACAACTGCAAAGAAAAGTGGGCAAATTCTTTCAAATCAGTAATGTGAAAGACTAATGGTCCGTTATCACAAACACTTATATATTTCCATCAGAAGTTCCTGGGCAGGTAAAATGACAATTAGAAACACAAACCCACAAAAAAATGATCATAATCAAAAAACAACAAAGGCCCTGGAACGGCAGAATGGATCACTGTTTTCAAGTAAACAGATGACATGCGGAGGAATATTTTTTAAGATGACTGGTCTTTTAAGACGAGAGGTTTTCCAGGATATGTCCATCATCAAAAAGCTAAGTGTATTCATCTTGTTTAATTTTTTCCTACCATCATTTCACAAGAATTCCTTTATATTTTCTTCTTTTTTTTAAGGAAAAACAAAGAGAAAGACAGGAAATACAGAGAGACAGAGACAGTGTAGTGTCAGGATTCAAACTACAGATCTGCTGCTTTACGCATGCACATGAATTCAGTATGTGTTCCAACCACAAAGTTAGTGGTTTACCCTTTAAATACCTGAATATTAACAAAAACTTACATTGTGGATCCTGAAGAGACAGAGTGCCACCACATGGGCACACCACTTGGCTCCTGCACCACAGGTACAGCTGCAGGAGGTGATGCGACAGCGATCAAACATGACCGCCACGTTGTAGGCTCCTTTAGACTGACTGGACTGAGTGGAGACTACTGTAGCACTGAGATGAAAGCCTTGTAAATGAAAACAGAAAAAAACAAAATCAGCAAAGACAACAATGAGTTTGAAATGGAAGCAAGTGCATTTCTTTGATTGGAAATTATATTTTAGTGTCCGACAGAATGGTTTTGGTTTTGATATTGCTTAGTCTTTTATTTAATATAGCTCTTTTGTGCAAAAGGTTTGCAATCTTACAATGATTAAATTCCAGACCAAAATATTCTCTCCCACAAAAAAACAAAACGCAGGCATTGTTTGAGGTTTTTCCATTTTCTAATCCATGTCATCACACAACACATTTGTACAAAGTCCTACTAGTAATAAAGGAGAAGGTGCCTCAAACAAATTCGGACCAAGTCATATAGCATTCACACCTATGGGCAATTTAGTGTTTCCAATTAATGTATCCCCACTAACTGCATGTCTTTGGACTGTGGGAGCAAGCCGGAGTACCCAGAGAGAACCCACGCAAGCATGGGAGAGCATGCAAACTCCACACAGAAAGACCCCGGCCTGATGCTGCAATTGAACTCAGGACCTTCTTGTTTTGAGGCAACAGTGCTAACCACCGTTAGCCGACCAGCACCTTAACCAACTCTGCATAATACATATCAAAAGTATTTGTCATTAAAAGTTGGATGCGTGTGCACAGCAAATGGCTTTGTAGAGAAACAACTTAAAAGGCCCTATATAGGTGAAAAACAACAAAACAAACAAACCAAAATGTCACCATTTAATGTGGTATTTGGAAGATTTGCAGTTAAAAGTTGGAAATTGGGTTTAGATATTACACATACCCAGCATTCTGAAAACAGGATTATACTAATAGCAGACTTGTAGAAATAATGGAGGTAAATGGAGTACCTTTGAATCACATGATTTACTGTAACCTGCACATGGTGTTATTCTAAGCTTGGTGATTGTAGAAGAATAGAGTGTGATATACCAAAGTTAGAACACCAGAGAAATGTTTTCCATAAGAGTACTCACTCTTATGTAAAGGATTACTCTACTTACCAATTTGCAAAGGGTCTTTGACAGCTCTGATCCTATAGAGTTGTTCTCCACGCTGGAATTCATCTGGACTCCCATTAGCAAGGCAGGAATATAATCTGCAGCAGTATGAAACCAAAGTCAAAGAGTCAAAGCAGAGTCAAAGTCAGCATAGCCTAGATAGTTAAAAAAAAAATCATCCTGTTACTTTTATTAGCAGTCACATTGCCAATAAACATCAGTCAACCAGACAGCCATGGACGCCTTTCCTTTCATCCAGTCTCGATTTTGTTTATTTCAATACTTTTTTCTGTGCAAAAATAGTTTTGTTTCCTGTTTGGAAACAAACAGGAAACAAAAAACAGGAGATTGAATTTTCTGGATTAATTTTGCAGTTATCTATTTTACTTTACCTAAATGTTAAATGCAATATTTTTAAACCCAAGGTTGACCCCTTTTTGGATTTCAAATCTGTTGTAGTGGTGGGCACACTAAGAAAATTTGTTACTGTCCACCAGTAACCAACAACCAGTAATGGAGAGAGAGAGAAGGCTGAATATATCTACACTTATGTGCAAAGGTTTGGGCACGTTGCATCTTTTTTTTTTTTTATATTTCATGTTTATGTTTTTATGAATAAACAAACAGAAACCCCAACTGTTACATGTGACACAATCTTTGATTTCATCTGGGTTTAACAGAATATACTCCTAACTTAATGGTTAGTGATACAATATAGAAATAGAAACTATTACTATACTATATTACATGTGAATACATTGATGAATGTTCATTTCTCATTTCATTTCTTTTCTTTTTGATGCAGCATGCTTTTTCCCCACAGCCTTGGTCCAACAGTCTCCGTAACAAAGTAATATTTGAAATTTCCCAATTAAGAGGAATTAATGCATTTATGGTTTTTATCTAAGGCGAATAAAGGGTTTAAAAGACAAATCCTCACCTGATGTCCTCTTCATTCTCAGGGAAGCTCCAGTAGGCAATGCGAAGCTGGAGCTGTTCTGGGACAGGAGGATAGACCTTCTCTACCACTTCAAATGGGATGTGAAAGGCGACCTGTTTTGCTGACAACTCCACCAGTGGAATCACCTGACCATCTGAGGAAAACCATCAAAGAGAAGATGATCAGCACAGTCAGGTGACAAAAAAAATCTTAAATGTCTTATAGGGCTGCTCAAGTAATCGAATTTTAATGACGATTACGATCTGGGCTTTCAACGATCATTAAAAATGACTGAGCCGATTATTAGCCCCTCCCTCGTGCTTTACTCTCGTGCTGCTCCGTGTGGCAAATCGAGCGCACTTCTCTGCATTTCGAATATGTGTCACAACAATTAAGAGCAGCGGTCTCCAACCTTTTTTGCGCCACGGACCGGTTTATGCCCGACAACATTTTCATGGACCGGCCTTTAAGGTGTCGCGGATAAATACAACAAAATAAAACTAGTACCGGTACCGAAAAAAAGAAGATTTACTCATAACACACGTGAAAAGACCCAGGAAAACTGAGTTAACAACAAAAACGATAACAAAATAACGCTGAAAACCGATAAAAACCCTGAAAACTATACATTTCACACCTGAGCCTCAACTCTCGCGGCCCGGTACCAAACGACTCACGGACCGGTACGGGTCTGAGGCCCGGGGATGGGGGACCGCTGATTAAGAGGACCCGAGGGAAGCTTGGAAAGCTAAGCAGAAGTTATTTGGAGAGAAGAGTGACTGCCGTTGGTTGAAAAGAGAGGTAAAAAAAAACTTCAGTGGTGTGGAAACATTATGGGTTCACGGAGTCAGACGTGGATCAAGTAGACAGTGTGTAAACTTTGCTACAGTGTTACATTTTTCATTTATGTTTATATTGCAAACATTTGCACTGTTATCAGTATTTGCACACTATTTTATATTATTTTTTTGACAATCTTTAAAGTCATTATTCAATACCTTGTTATTGTTAAATAAATATCGTCAAATAATCGAGATCTCACTTTCAGTGAAAATAATCGTGATTATCATTTTTGCCATAATCAAGCAGCCCTAATGTCTTACTTAAATTCTTGCCAAAAAAAGTAATAATTTTTTACTAATCACGGTCTTCCCACAGACATATCATTAAGTATACTGTAGCTACACTCTCTCTGAACTAACCTCATTAATTATTTTCTCCAAGTCATTAAAAATGTCTTACCATTAACTAATGTTTCAAATTTAAATATGGTCGGTTATCCCTGTTAACTGGCTACATGCCACAGGCTTTTATGGTGGCTGTAATTAAACCATTGCTTATTTGATCTAGACGTGTTAACCAATTATAAGCTGATTTCTAACCCTTTTATTTCAAAGGTTTTCCTAATAGTTGTTGTAACACAACTAGACAGTAATTTGCGCCGGAATGATTTAACAAAGTTTCAGTCACTATTTAGAGTGGATCACAGCACAACACCAGTGAATGTTACATATGATCTTATGGCCTCTGACAGTAAACTTAAAGCACTTCAGTTGTTCCATATTTTTGTCACGTTACAGCCATATTACAAAATGCAACATTCATTTTTCACCCTAATAGTTTACACATGAATACTCCGTAATGTAAAAGGGAAGCGTTTGCTTGAAAATGTTTACTAATCATCAACAACATGGTCTGGGCCTCCAGTAACAGTGGGAGGAATCGTTCAGTAATTTTTGACCAGGGTGTGTCCTGCAGAGTATTTTTTCAACAAATACGTAGCACCGCTTTCTTTCACCTAATCAAAATGATAATAATTAGAAACGTCCCATATGTTCCCTCATCCCTGCAAGACTGGACTATTGTAATGCATTAGTATTGTACTCTTGGTGCTCTAAAAACTCCCTGAAAAGCCTTCAGCCTTTTTTATATTCCTTAAGACTGGCCTTTATACTCTTTGGGGTTTTGGAGTTGAGCACACTATATGCTCTGTAATCTGAATACTTGAATAATCAGGCTTCGTTATATAGCTTAAAGATCTCGTAGGACCAAAGCATCTAAACAAAGTACTTCACTCTCAGACTGCAGGCAGTGAACTGTGGTTCCTACAGTTCCTACAAGTAAACTGGGAGCCAATCCCCCTCCTCTGGAACCATTATACCAGTTTGATTTCAGGAGATAGACACTAACTACTTTCAAAATTAGACTTCAAACTTTACTGATCCCAGTTCACCCTGGTCCAGTCGTCTGTTATGCTGCGATAGGCTCAAGCTTCGGCGGGACTTCCCATGATGCAATGAGCACTTCTCCACTCCACTCTTTACTTTCCATGTGTTTATACAGCACTGGTGTATGTCACGAAATTTCTGCAGTAGCTTTAGTTGGGTCTTTGACTCTATGTTCTCCTTTTTTTTCTCGTTCCCTGTAACTTGGTATCAAAGTGTGTGAAAATACAGTGCCGATCAAAAGTTTAAGACCACTTGAAAAATGGCAACAAGGAATGTGGTCCCGTTTCAGTTTTCAGTAAATTGCATGCTCAAAAAAATGTTTTGTCTCACTCCCATTTCTTCTCGTTGTATGCTGAAGTTCTACTTGGAACCTTGGTAAAATCCAAACATGCAAAATATGATTTTTTTTGCCATTTTTCAAGTGGTCTTGATTGGGACTGTAGTATTGCCAGTGACAGAGTGACATGTGTTTCTAAAATATTTTGTTCTTGACACACTTTCACTTCATTTCAAGCTGTTTGTAATGAATCATGCAACCTGAGAGAAACCAATAACAAAACATTTCTTAATATTGTAATTCTGAAAAAGTAAAGTGAAAATAATGGCACAAAAGAAGAGATGGACAACACTAAATGTGGGTAGCATAACCATAATGACAGGATGCTTATTGAGAGCATAGGGGTCTGCCAGTGAAATAAAAAAGGCTTCAGATTACAGACCTCATTTACAAGCTACTACTTTTGCTGGTGTTTAGCATATATGGAGTAAAGCACTGTTCATATAATGCCATGCTGGTGTAAAGGCCCCAGGGTTTGTGGTAAAAGGCCATAGGAAAGCCACCAAGAAAAGCTGACCAGCAGTCCTGATCTGTTTTAAGTATATCGGTAAGCTAAGGTATAGTGTGATAAAATACACGTTTCGATGTTTGTTTGCCTTGCTGAGATAAAAACAAATGCAAACATCAAGCACCACTCATTTTCCCCTTACATTTATGGAAATAACTGGCTTCAATTAGAAGGGCCTGTTTACAGGGAGTCATACAGGTAATGACTATTTAAATCAATTTCAAATAAACATAAAGCCTGTCAAAGGTCTCAGAATTTATATCTATGTTTCACTGCTTTGCAAAGCTGTTCAATTTAACCAGAGGCTGAACGCTGCCAACATTAACCAGAGCCACATCGAATTTCCCAGAGGAACCCACCCGAGGGATTAATAAAGTTCTATCTAATCTAAGTAGTAAGAAAATAAACAATTTTCAGTTACAGTGGGGCAAAAAAGTATTTAGTCAGCCACCGATTGTGCAAGTTCCCCCAC